TTGACAGGCTGTGGACATATCGGGGAGCAGTGATTAACCACTGGTTTAGTTCAAAGTTGTACCGATTGCGTAATTGGTCCAGATCCAATCGGTTCGCCCCCACGCCGCCTCTGGGGTGGAATTGTTTGTAGACCCCGGCATTAATCTGGCGAAGTGCAATGATATGATTGAAGGTGGACATGTCAGTCACGCTCGGAATTGTGAGCTCGTCAATCCCAGCCATCTGATCACGCAGTTGTTGATCTGTTCGTTGGAGTGGAAGAGCAATCGTGATATCAGAGTCTTCGATCATCAAGGGACGACCCATGTTGATGGCCATACTGCATTGCATCACGTAGGCGCACCAGAAGATCCGCTTCATCATCTCCGCTTGCAGCACATCCTGTCCCATGAGACTCTCCTTGCGATGTAGATCTATTCCGATAGCCAAATGCAGCGCCATGCCTGTGGTATACCACATATTGACCGACTGCGGCTCATTGTGCCCGTACATTGAGAGCAGCAGCAGGCATTGGATATACTCAAGATCGCCAGCCTTCGCAATCAGCTCCAGATCCTTGACAGCATCCTTGAAGAACTTTCGATGCATGTCATCATTGCTCAATTGGCAAGACCGCTCCGTGGCGGCAATTGCACACACAATCTTGACGAAAAACCGCGAGATCGAACGAGCCTCGGGGTGTGCCAGAAACGGGTTGAGGTGCTGCTCCCAAAACGTCGGCCGATGGAGGACAGGCAGGTACGGCCACCGCCGATCGAAGAAGGTCTCAGCAAGGCTGGCATACGTCTCGTGGCTGATCTCGACCGCGCTGTTCAGGGGCACTTCGACACTCGTGTCGTCACCCCATAATTCCCAGGCGCCACTCAACGTGCTGCGATTCACCTTCTGCATACCAGGTCGATTGGCAAAAGTCGGACGCAGGATACGTTCACAGTACTGAAAGGCCAAATCCGTCGTGCCGTCTAGGGGGATGTGCTGTGGCTGAGGCCTTGAACCGGCGGCGGTGCTATGCCCTGCGTCCTTCGCCACGGACAGCATCGGCGTCCGGGGCTCATGAGCGGACGGTCCAGGGGACTGAAAAGCTTCCATGATTTGCACCTGGAGCCGCTGGTTCTCTTGCAGAAGGTCACTGCACCGTTGCTCCGCGGTCGCCAGGCGCGCTCGTAGGTCGTCACATTCACATTGCGCGTCACCAGGGCGAACCACAAGCCGGTCCGACATCACACAGGACGTTCCAGCAGCAGCACATGGACCGCATGTCGGCAGCCTTCCGTCACACTATCATGCCAGTCAGTGGGTCGATCTCAGAGGCCAGGCGCACGACTAACTTTTTGCTTCCGCCTGCGGCATCGCTGGCAGGCGGCCGCGCTGCGGGTAAGACCACGACGGTGGCGACGCGGAACAGAGCTTGGAGAATCCTCGGTCATGTTCACAAATTTGGCATTGCATTCTTGGATATCTGGCGAGTTACAATGGATCTGGTGTCTCGAATTCACCGAAGTGCTTGGAATGGTCGATGCGGGAAGGAACGACCGGAATGATGGCCGGTAGCCGAATTGTGGCTGGTGGCTGACTCATCGACTCTTCAAGTGTGGCGTCGCGCAGAATCCGTGCTCAGGCCTCTGATGGCGAGTATCCTATTCCACTCTAAGAGCTAGAGAAATAGCTTGCGAGACTGAGTGACATAGCTGTCTGAAACTTACTGGGTACAAATGTTTCTGCAATTTTCAAAATGGTAGATGCTGTATATGAAGTCCTACACATTGAGAACGGTTGGTCAAACGCGGGAAGATTGCCCAGGAATATATATATGTATCATGCCGTTACTGTGGATGAATGAGGATTTCGATATATTGAGATCTGAATTATCTCCCTTCTACCATATATGAAAGACAAAATTGAATGAGCTATACATATTCAGAAAGTCACAGACATGTCACTGAGTTCTCCAAATTTTCAACTTGAGAAATCTAATCCTTTGCTCCAGATCACAACCGATTAACATACTCCTTAACCGTATCCCCAAACCCAACCATACATATCGTCGCCCAAGCCGCGACTCCAATCCGCGGCACCACACCCCGGAAGAGTCCCTTAACCCCCGACGTAGCAATAATATGCCTGAACGTCGAGAACACAGTCGGCGAAACCGGACGCGACGGATCCTTCTTCATCGACTGCATCTCCACACGGAGGACCTACACACGAACAGAAAAAAAGATCAGCTCATGACCACCCGCACGTACACCATCCCAACCCAACCAACGCCCCCCTTGCAATCCCCCATCAAGAAAGGAGCAACTCACCTCGAAAGGCTGATTCCAACAACTCAGCGCCCCGCCAATCGTCGACGCGAGGATCTTATCCCCGAATCCCAGCTTCTCGTGTTTGCCTCTCCCGCGCATCGAGCGGATCGTCTCCTCAGCGAACCGCGAGATGCCGATGCGGGACGCCCAGCCCGTGACCTGCCGGAGGGCCACGGCGTTGACGCCCTTGTTCACGCCGCGGATGCCGTCCTTGCGGAGGATCTGCAGGAACATCTCGACGGTGCCGGGGGGCTTGCGCTGGCCGTCCGCGGCGATCTTCGTCCGCGTTACCTCCACGGTCTTCATGCAGGTGGTCATGCCCATGGTCAGGTAGGCCTGGGCCACGCCGCCGCTGATGCCGCCGAGGACACCGCACAGCGTCGGCGAGGCGTTGAATCGCGTGCGGGCGTGGTACTCGACCTCGCTGGAAGCGAGGATGAGGATGGCGCCTTTCGTGCTGGCTTCGAGCCAGGCCTGTACATCTTGTCAGGTACGGTGGGGCGAGGGTAAAAATGGGTGGGGAATAATTGTGCAATTATCCTAGAGAAAGGACAAGAAATAGCTGTCAGGAAGAGTGGACCACATACCCAAGGAATCAACCCTTGATAAAACGCCAGAAAGCGGCCACGTGACCACGTTTTCTTGAAGGCTTCGGGCAGTGTATCTTGGCGGTTTGCCGCGAGCTGCATGATATCGTCAGTATGAAAAGGGGGGTTTCGTGAAGATCACACCATACATGCGTCTTGATTACTTCCAAAGGCTGGCCCAGTGAGGTCACTGCATGTTGTCAGCCGACGAAACTTGAGATACAGAATTGGATAATAGGTACCCTGGAAGATATTCATGGCCGCCCCAACGGCCAAGTTTCTATACGGGATGGGTCGTCTCTGCTCGGTGACATCATGGCGATGCACAGGCGTGCTGATAGTGGTAACGGGCTCCATTGTGCCGGTATGTTGCTTGTCCAGTGAATAGACTTATCTTGTTTCATTGGTGACTTTCGCACATTGTTATACATACATCCATCTCCGGCCTCTGCGCCCGTGTCGGATATATCCGACGCATGTATACGACCGGGTCGGTCCAGTTTCACCCTTGCGTCGGTTACGCGGAAACCGTCCGACTCAGTCGGAATATCTGTCCTAGATAAGTGTTAGGGAACAACTCGGACAAAGCCTTAGTTATGCTCAAACTCAGCCGTCCCCTCAAGCTTCAATTAGTGACAAGAATTAAACCGTGCCAGCAGTGCCTGCGCAACATGTCCATCCAATCGACCAATTCTCAGAGCTCGAGCTCAACATTTCAGTAAGTTTACCACCAACCAGCTTCGAGCCCATGGACTGAGAATCAAAGACCTCGCCTGCCCCAAGGCGCATTCGACACTCATGTACACGTCTTTGATCCCCGACTAGGACCCTATGCGGCTGGTCGAGCCTATACGCCGGAAGATGCACCCCTACAAGAACTGCTCGCCTTCAACAGCGCCATTTCTGGCGCCAACAATACCACGCTGGTACTAGTCCAGCCATCGCCGTATAAGACAGACTGCACAGTATTGATGCAGTGTCTGCGCGACCTACGCGACCGGAGAATCCCTGCTTTTGGAATAGCAGTGATTGACATTGCCCGCGTGACGGACGAGGAACTGCAAGCTATGCACGACCTGGGCATCCGTGGCATACGTCTTAACTTCCAGGCGGACGGTCACAAATTAGATGTCGCAAGTCTGAAAGAAAGGGTTCAACATGCTGCGGAGCGTATTCAGCATCTGCCTGGCTGGATGATCCAAATGTTCATTCCAGTTTCAGCATGGGACGGTATGCGATATGCCTTCCATTTGGGAGAACATAATCTGACAAATGACAGTACTATACGACTGTATCCTTGAGCTTCCAGTACCAATCATCGCAGACCATCTTGGTGGGACCGCTGGCCCATCCAAGCTGCCGGTCGACTTCCGATCCAAGCCGATGTCTCAGCCCGGGCTAGGATCTTTATTATCGCTGGCGAGACAGGCTCGTGTGATAATCAAAATCTCAGGTCTTTACCGGATGTCGAATGAAACAAGCTCGAATTACGGCGATTTGCAATCTATCGTCGAGCTGTTTGCTAGTGAAGTTCCTGACCAGCTGATTTGGGGCAGTGACTGGCCTCATACTGGAGAAGGGCACGATCGACTGGGGAAAACAGTAGATATCAAAGAACCATTCCGAAAGATTGATAACGAGGGCGTTCTTCGTAACCTTAGTGCATGGATGGGCCCCGGGGCATGGCAGAAGATGATTGTGGATAACCCACGGCGCGTGTACCAAGGATAGAGTCTGACTAGAGGTTCGAAGCCAGAAGCTAGCCCAATTTGATAGAGCCTCGTTTGTCTTGCCCTTGGAATAGAGTTTTTACAAGCTGCGGGGTCCTGATTGGTTTCCCTTTTGTTCGTTTCGCCGGGCAAGGGATCGGAACGAGCCTGTTCGACTGATTTCGCCACATGTCGGATGCTTCCGGCCATCGCTACCGACCCCATGGGGATGATGGGTTGTTCCATTTGCTCTGTGGCCCAACGAGGAGAAAGACTTTGTAATGCCAGATTGGGTCCCCCGCACTCTCCAGTCCGGAAGTACAAGTACCCCAGAAGATTTTCATCGATGCACAATTATCGACCCAGGAACCAAACGTGCATTCGACCAGCTCTTCAGATGACTTACTTCCGCATCCCCCTTGTCGGGTTCCGGCTTCAAATCGCACTGGTGGCTCTGGTGGTTGCACCATCCTACATTCTCTTTGGATACAACCAGGCCGTGCTGGGCAGCTTGCTGAGTCTGCGCAGCTGGGTGGACGTGTTCCCTGAGATCGACACCATCGATACCACAGGGGCACAAAAGTCACACAACTCCACCTCTCAAGGAGCCTGCAATGCTTCGTTCCAGATAGGCGCTATGATAGGCGCGTTGTCGTTGTCATTCTACGCAGACAGACTGGGTCGCCGACGAGTCATCTTCCTCGCAGCCATCATCACGTTCATCGGCCAGGCTTTGCAATGCTCAGCAACAACTCTTGCTCAGCTGATAGTCGGCAGAGTCATTATCGGGTTTGCAATCGGCCAGACGAGTGGCACCGTGCCAGTATGGCAGTCAGAATGTGCTTCGTCCAAAGATCGTGGACAGCAGGTTGTCTGTGTCGGCATCTTTATCAGCACGGGCTATTGGTTGTGCAACTGGGTCGACCTAGGATTCAGCTTCCTTTCGTCATCGACGATGCAGTGGCGGGCTCCCCTCATCATCCCATTCCTTTTCTCTGCTATACTGCTGGTGTCCGTCTTTGCCTTTCCCGAGTCCCCTCGCTGGTTGGCTTCCAAGGGCCGACGAGAAGAAGCGATGATCAGCCTCGCGCAGTATCGCGGGAAAGAACCAACCGACATCATGGTCCAGCGTGAGCTCGCAGGCATTGAACTCTCGTTTGAGGGCACGGAAAGAACCTCCTTGAAGGACATGTTCCGCAAAGACGACCGGGAACGTCTCTTCTACCGTTTCCTTCTCTGTATGGGACTCAACTTCTTTCAGCAGGTAAGAATCCCCCCCTCTTTCTGAATCTCAGACAAACCAACTGACTTTCCAGGCCTGCGGCGGCAACCTCATCTCCGTCTACAGCTCAACCATCTTCCAAAACTACCTCAACATGACTCCCACGACGGCCAAAATTCTCGCCGCGAGCGTGCTGATGTGGAAGTGCATCTGCTGCTTCATACCCTGCTGGACGATCGACCGCTGGGGCCGTCGCCTCAGCTTCATGATCAGCGGGGGCGGCATGGCCGTGTGTATGGCGGTGCTGGCGATCACCACCGGCCTGGGGACCATCACGCACACCAAGGCCATCGTGTACGTCGCCTTCATGTTCGTTTTCAATTTCTTCTATCCCATCGGCTTCATGGGGGGCAATTTCCTGTACGCCACTGAGGTGGCCCCCGGCCGACTGCGGGCTGCCATGTCTTCTTTGGCAACGGCCAACCACTGGTTGTGGAATCTGGTCGTTGTCCTTGTCACGCCGGTCGCCATCGATACCATCGGGTACGGGTACTATGTGATCTATGCGCTGATCTCCGCCACGATTCCGGTCTGTGTGTATCTATTCTATCCCGAGACGAAGAATAGGAACCTCGAGATGCTGGACCAGGTGTTCGCTACTGCGCCGTCGGTGTGGAAGGTGGTGAGCCAGGCTCGGGGTCTGCCGCAGGGCGAGCAGCCTGTTGCTCAAGTGGAGGAAGGAAAGGAGGATGCAGCTGGTGATGTAGAGATGCGCGAGTTTGTTTGAGAATGGTCTTCTAGATATAGAGACAGAGGAGTTCTGGAAGAAGGATGAATTTACGGTAGATGAAGTGAGGATGAAAGAAGACGGAGTGGGCAAGAGGAAAAATCGGAAAACAAGCAATACACATAGCAATCACATGATATTTCTCTCTCAACATTGTATCTTCTTTTGCCTCCACTTGTTTGTATCGAACGAATGCCAGTGCATATGAAATGGAGCACTATATCAAATGTCTTTAGTGTTTAGGATAACTGCTCAAGTCCTCTGACCACGGAGCTGGTCGAATTCGAGGGATCGTGATACTACGAAGTTTTCGAAAAGAAACTGCTCACGCAACAACCAACTTCTCGGCGCCTTCTTCTCACCTTCGTCATCTTCAACTCCGTTACTGTCTTAGATTTTTCAGGGCTCACAGCACCAGTTTGACGCGACGTCTGCGCACAGCATTAAGCTTTCTGCACACGTGGAACTGTATTCGCCGCTTATCGGAACAGCCGACGGATGTATCCGATTTTACGAACGAATCACCACCAACTTAAAACAAATGAATAACAAGATACATAATGACCAGAGGCTTCTTGTCTTCGTCTTTCACCCTTGCATACCACTAATAACAAGAGAATGAGACAATGTCGTCAATGTTGAGACTCGCGCGACTGGACAAGTCGGCCAAGCTAGCCCGAGGCTTTGCCTCGCATGCGACAGCACCACTCAGTCGCCTGGAACACCAGACGGTCAATCTGCACCAATTTCCTTCCAAGGTCGCAAACCTGAGAGATCGGTAAGCAGCAATCATCAAAATGCATAGGTGGGGGTTTGAGAACTCAGCTGACTTCTGCAGACTGAAGCGCCCCCTCACATACTCGGAAAAGGTCCTCTATAGCCATCTCGACGAGAGTTTCGACGAACCCATTGTACGCGGACAGTCGCAACTCCGATTACGGCCCCTGCGCATTGCCTGTCAAGATGCGACCGCTCAAATGGCTCTGATTCAGTTCATGTCGGCCGGCATGGACGCGGCGGCCGTGCCCACAACCGTTCACTGTGACCATCTGATCGTCAGCCGCGACGGAGAGGACCAAGATCTGCCCCGTGCGATTGAGGCGCATCGCGAGGTCTACGAGTTCATGGAGAGCGCTTGTCAGAAGTACAACATGGGGTTCTGGAAGCCGGGAGCTGGTATCATCCATCAGATTGTTCTAGAGAATTACGCTTTCCCTAGCGGGATGATGATCGGGACGGACTCGCACACCCCGAATGCTGGTGGACTGGGAATGATCGCTATCGGCGTGGGAGGCGCCGACGCAGTCGATGTCATGGCAGGCTTGCCATTGGAGCTGAAAGCGCCCAAGGTGCTGGGTGTGCGACTGACCGGTCAGTTGTCGCAGTGGGCTTCCCCTAAGGATATCATCAGTACTGTCGCAGGATTGATCTCAGTGAAGGGCGGCACAGGCTCAATCATTGAGTACTTCGGGCCTGGTTCCCAGACGCTGTCCGCAACTGGAATGGCGACGGTGTGCAATATGGGCGCAGAGACTGGCGCGACGACATCAATCTTCCCTTACTCGCCCCAGATGGCAGACTATCTCCGATCTACCCATCGCAGTGACATGGCTCGCGCTGTGGGGAGTGTTGCGCCAGAACTACGTGCGGATGAGGGTGCAGAGTATGATCAGGTGATTGAGATTGACCTGTCAACCTTGGAGCCTCGCATCAATGGACCATTCACTCCGGATCTTTCTACTCCACTATCCAAGTTCGCTCAGACGGCTGAAGAGAACCAGTGGCCTGAACTGACAGCCGGTCTGATTGGTTCGTGTACCAATTCCTCATTCGAAGACATGGGACGTGCGGCGCATCTGGCCCAACAGGCACTCGATGCCGGCCTACAGCCGAAGATGCCTCTTCTCATCTCGCCCGGCAGTCTGCAGACCCGCGACACAATCGAGGATGCCGGTATTTTGCCTGTGTTTAAAAAGCTGGGGGCAGTCATGCTACCTAATGCTTGTGGACCGTGCTGTGGTTCCTGGGACCGCACCGACATGCCCAAGGTGCGTTCTGTCGTGTATCGCATCGATCTCCCAACTCTAACCAACAGTGTATAGGGCACCCCGAACTCGATCATCACCTCTTACAACCGCAACTTCTCCGGTCGGCTTGACTCCAATCCAGCCACGCACATCTTCCTCACCTCACCCGAGCTCGTGATGGCCAAGGTGTTCTCCGGAGATCTCTCGTTCGACCCCACAGTGGACACGCTCACCACTCCCTCAGGCGAGACCTTCAAGTTCCAACCTCCCACCGGCGACGCCCTCCCCAAGGACGGCTACAAAGAATCCAGCTCCGCCTACCTGGCTCCCCCAAGCAAGCGAGACAACCTGGAGGTCAAGATCTCGCCGTCCTCCCAGCGCCTGCAACGGCTCGCCCCTTTCGAACCTTGGCACGGCAGAGACTTCGAAGACTGTGTCGTTCTCATCAAGACAAAGGGCAAATGCACAACGGACCACATCACTCCCGCAGGCCCCTGGTTCCGCTACCGCGGCCACCTGGAGAACATCTCCAACAATACACTGATCGGCGCCGTCAACGCCGAGACGGGCCAGGTCAATTCCATCCGCAACCAGCTCACCGGCGAGGAAAGCCAAGAAGTCCCCGCCACAGCCCGGTACTACAAGAGCCACGACCAGCCGTGGGTGGTTATCGCCGACCACAATTACGGCGAGGGTTCATCGCGCGAGCACGCCGCGCTGCAGCCGCGCTATCTAGGCGGGGTGGCCATCATCGCAAAGTCGTTTGCCCGGATCCACGAGGCCAATCTGAAGAAGCAGGGTATGTTGGCGCTGACGTTTGCGAACGAGGCGGACTATGATCGCATCCACGCATCGGATCGTGTCAGTATCCGCGGTCTGGCGGAATTGGCTCCAGGGAAGAACTTGACGCTGCAGGTGACTTCAGCACAAGGGGAGATTTGGGAAGCGGAACTGCAGCATACGTTCACTGAGGAGCAGATCGGATATTTCCGGGCAGGGAGCGCGTTGAATCTGATGAGTGGTGGGGTGAACAGTTCATGATTTCTTGATGTGTCATTTGACTTGTTGGTTAGGGAGTTCGGACTGCCTGGATTGAACCATGGGACCTCTGGTTTTAGTATGTTTTATGTCAGTATATGATCGCAGAATGTATATTGAGACTTGGCATGATTCACTATACCTTGAACGATACTCCTCCCCTTCCCAAGTAATCCAGTTTTCCTCACAACTGTACTAAGATTGGCGATCATTACCATCACTCAATCGAGAAAATGTTATAGCGTGAGAAGGAGACCAAAGTGCAGCATAACACAGACTCCTTAGGTGCTATAATCATTATCCATCCCCTGCTGTAATAAGTCCCAAAAGTTTGTGTCGAGACCCTGCAGAGGCCAGAACTCGGGGGACAGATCTGCATCCAAGAGTGAAATTGCGGGTAGTTCAGCAGCAGTACGACCATCAGCATCTGCTTGAAATGTGTAGGCGGGTGCACTGATAAGAGAAGTATTCTCGATCGGCGACGGAGAAAGTCCTGGTCTTGTTGCAGTTAGAGAGTTCTGTAGTCGTAGCTCCTTGCTTGATTTTGACGTGCTGCTGCTGCCGTCTACAACAGGCGAGTCTGTGGAGTAGACCGGTTCTGGAGTGCTGATTTGAGGGGTGAGTTCCGACAACGAATCCACGATCCGGTCTATGCTGATGTTCGTGAAATCAAGAGCCCAGGGTCGGATGAAAACAGTTCCGAGGTGCGGAACAGAAAAGGTGATCGGTCGACTTTCCGGCTCTTTACTGAGAAATTCCTCGCTGGTCCTCGACCCACTATCTCTGAAACGAATGATTGGAACTAATCGTGCGACAAAAGCTGCAAAATCGCGGGAGATCGTGTCCTCGCACGTCTCGGCCACAAGCTGTAGCCTGTCATGGACACTCTGGATGAGTTTGAGATCCTCCTGCCGCTGCGCGTCCGGGTCGTGGTGGCCCGCCTCGAGGTGAGGCGGCTGGTCAGCCAGGTATCCCAGCAAGAGTGTCATGCACGCGATCACCGCGCTGTAATCAATGTGGCGACAGGCGCTGGCCGAGGGATGGAGAGTGCGGTACGGATCGAACAGACGCAAGTTTGCCCGGGCGAATGTGGCACATGATGCGCGGCTGTGGTCGTAGCGTCCGCCTTGTCGACCACCAAACCTGGGCTCACGCCGGAGCAAGTAAGGGAGATGAAGGTATAGTTTCAACGTGTGGTGGTGAATTTGGAGCAAGAGACGAGAGCTGGAAGTCGGATCGTGCGTGTTGATCGAAGACAGGTTCCACCATTCTGAGCCCATTTTCTCAGCTGCTGCATCGAGTTCTCCATCGATGAGGTGGGTCATAGAAAAGGCAGCGTTGTCGTCTTTTCTTTTCATCATTGCGTTGCGCTCGAGGATGCGTCCTGTGAGAATTGTTTGGCTCGTTTCAAGCCGTTCCATTTGATCGTAGTTGTCTGTCAACAAAAGATTGGCAAAGTTGCTGTCTTGCACAGCTGGGGATAGACCAAGAAACAACGAGAGACATCGGTCGAAGAAGACCGCGCGAAACCAGAGCCACCGAGGAGATATTCCCGCCCCAGGAGGAACGGTCTCATCAAAGGTGTGGAATTGCGTCTGGACTCCATCATTCAAGTCCAGAAGCTGTGCAATATTTATGGCACGACGAACAGTTAACCAGCTCCGTCGCAGGTTTCCAGCATTAAGTTGAAACAGCGCAAGCAACACAAGACATTCCACGCCGTCAAGGGAAGAAGCCAGCTCATCACGCGATGTCACCAGCTCCATGACGGTGGTGACATTATCCGCAGCTGCGCCCTTCAGATACACCTGATCTTTCAGAGACAGATAACTGCATTCAGGTTTGAGGTGCTGCACGCAAATTGCCAGTTGCAGCAGCCGCTTCGAGAGAATTATCGGGTGACTCTTTCTAAGAAGGTGCCAGGAGCTTGCTGTGAGCTTCTGGAAACGTCCCTGGGAGATCTCTTGGTGTGAGTGGAAGAGCATGGAGACCATTGTTGCTCCGGGGCTAGCTAGTACCAGTGCCATCGTAACTTCAGTGGGTGGTAGGAGATCAAATAATGCGTTGCGGAGCTTTTCGTCCTTGGAATACTGGCACGTGAACTCCGGTCTTTCGATCTGAGATGAATGAGGCATGGCCAGCATGTCTCGGGTGCCCATCATGGCACCCGTGGGCGTCTCTTCCACGGTTCTGAAACTAGAGACATCGTTTATCGTCGCCGTGTGGGTACTAGATTGAGCTCGTCGTGAGGGTGGCCGAGTACTTCGATGTGAACTTTCTGAGCTCACAGGTCTGTCATTGAAAGTTATAGCGTTAGAAGACCCCCTGGCCTCCCCAGGAAGGCTCTGAACAATGTCCTCCAGCTTTCTTAGACGGTCCAGAACATCTCCGTCTCGCTGTAGTAACCCTTCCGAAGGTAACCGGTCAGCGTCGATTTCCACGGTATCCTGACTAACACAAGGAGTCCCTCTGGCACTACAAGTGACGCAGACAGAGTCACTGGGCGTCGCAAATTGACAGCGGATCTTCCGTCGTCGACCTAAGCCAGCAATCAGCGCCAATCCATCAAAGCTCCAGGCCCACAAAACGAACACTCCCAGCAACTATGGGTTCCTTTGCGGACTTTTCTTTTGTGCCCGGTGCGGCGAGCCTCGCGCATCTCGGTCACCATAGTCAGATATATTATATTGAGAGAGGAGTTAGGTCGAGCGCAGTGTCATTATTTTCGATTGAAGGTTGGTCGGCTGTTGCGAAAATTGGGAGGGTAGGTACGGAGTAGCTGTGCATATAAAGACAGACGCGGAGACCCGCACAGACCCGCGGTTCCGTGCATTAGTCAGTTATTCCGCAAGGATTACTAATTATACATATAAGTGACGGTAACTACATAGTAGCTTAGGTGAAGTACACAGTAAACAACAACCGACCGAATAATACAGACTCATTCACTACTCAACTCTCCACAGACGCATCTGCAAAGCTTGTTAGCCCCACTGCTCGCCACTCCAGATCTTCTTCGTCGTCCACAGAAAATAATCGCGCCCCTTGAACAGCCAAACCAAAAACCCGGGCAATTTATACCCCATCATCGCTCCGACACCCCTAGCCGTCCCAATCGGAACGATCTGCGTCTCACGTGTATCCTCCTTGAACACAGAATCTCCGTCACCATCTCCTACTCCTCCGCCCTCCAGCAACAAATCCCGCCTGATGTTAGCACAAAGGATCGGCACAGCCTGCAGAATACCATGCACTGACGGCCGCGCCGCGTACGAGGCCGCATCCCCAATGGCATAAACCCTGTCCCCTGCATTCCTCACACGTAGAGTTGAGTTTGTCTCGACTCGACCATCCGCAGCCACGAGACTTGGGTCCAGAAAGCCGGTATTAGGCTTCGTTCCCGTAGCAGGAATATACAGGTCTGCAGGGAGCGTTCGCCCGTCTTCCAGCGTCACCGTCGCAGCCACTGCATCAGGACCGGCATTCTCAGGATGGACACTCTGCACGCGGGCGTTCTTGATGACTGACACGCCGACGTCGGCGAGTAGCCGCTCGGCTTTAATTGCAAGTGCCGGTCGCAAGGCGGGAAGCAGTCTGAAGCCGGATGTGACGAGAGTAATGTGTACGTTCGGGGGCTGATTCGGGCTCCGTCCGAAAGACATCCACCCGCCGCGGTGGCGCCCGTTGAGGTGCTCTCCCAACTCTCCGGCTGTTTCCACCCCCGCTGGTCCACCACCTGCGATCACGATGGTTTTGACGTGCGGTAGGGTCTGTCGGATTGCGGACCAGCTACTCCGGAGGTGGACGGCGTCCTGGTTGAGGCCGAGGGCGGGCGAGGGCGTAGAGGCGCCGGTGGCGATGACGAGGACGTGGTATGCAATAGTCTCATGGGTTCCGCCAGAGGACATGGCGATTGAAACGCTTCTCTCGGTGTGCGTCACTGCAGTCGCTGTTCCGTGGATGAATCGGAAGCTGCCCTCGGGGTAATGGGCGAACATGCTGCGAATGTCGACGAAAAGCTTCTTCTGGTCGAAATACTCATCGGAAATCAAGGCACGAGGGCAGGCCTGTCGACACATGGCTTGGAATGACGAACTAACAAGGATGATCTGATATAGATCCGGGGTGGGCTGCTTGGGAATGACATGCTTGAGTAGGTAGTGCGCCGTCGAGACGCCACCGTACGATCCTCCGAGGACGACAATAATCTTTCTTGACGATGCGTCAGGCATTGGGCAGAGGTAAAGACGCGAAAAGATCTCCAATAATTGTAAGCGACCAAACAATCGAGAAAAATCTTTAATGTGGACGTTCAATCCCATATATACCTCATACAGCCGGACGATTCGTCCGAATGGTTTCAGGAGAGACTCGGATGAATTCGTCCGAATTCGTCCGTACATCCACACGGACACACAAAATGCTCCTTGAACCCAAACATTCGTCATTAGTCATAGTACACAATCAGACTCAACTCCCTCTGCAAATAATCGAATGGTATAAGCTGATACATCCCTAATCCCACATTATCCTATACACCATGCGTTCATAGACACTCGTAATAACCTTCCCGTCCTCAAGACGCCACACCCGACCGACAACCCAAAAACATCCAAGCTAATGCAGTATTATATACCTTTCTATTGATGACCTGTAACTTGACCCGAAAATAATAAACAATAAGAAATAGGAGAGAAGGAGACAGAGGTTTATCAGTATGTTTCAAGAGTCAGTTGCGAGGATTTGTGTCAGAGTACCTGGTGGCACCTGATTGGCTGCTCAGCCACTGACCGCCGTGACTTCGTCAGCTGCAGAAAGTGCCGCTGAGGTCGTTCTCCGATTAGATAGGGGAATCCATCATCTTTCATATCCCTCAACACATTCAAGGTTGCGATTTCCAAAGTCGATTCTAAGAACGCTCAACATGTGCGCCCAACTGCCGTATATGCTGCAACCATCATCCGTTAGCCATTATCAATGAATCCCGACCGTCCATGAATCCTGCATCCACTAGCGGACAGGATGCCACAACGAACCATTTGTACATCAATGTCTCGAAAGTAATAAAATTGCGCGTCGGGTGGTAGATGCGCGATCAAGTCCGACGGGGCAACATGCTGTGTACGAGAGTCGAGAGACCTTGGGTGGACGGGAACTGGATCTACAAGACACATAGTAAAAGTAATTAGCTTAGAGTTAAGGGATATTGCGGAGTACACATAGAACCAGAGTATGGGTCTAACGAACCATGGTGGAGCTGCGGAGAGAAGTGACGGCGGCGATAATGACGATCGTAGAAATCCCAGAACACGAGTAACGATGAAGGAGCAGTGGCAATTAATGTGACGAGTGCAATGATTGTTTCTGGTGACCAGGAGGACATTTTTGTAGTCCGATCGCAGAAGGACTGAGCGCTTTTGTTGGTGGGACTTGAGGAATGTTTATTATCTTGAAAGCGGTTTCTAACGAGGCCGTGGGGAGGTTTATATGGTGTATTGCGCAGGTTATTCTGAGGTATAAACGCAAGAGCGAGTACGTACTGTGCCAATTACTCTTTACGCTTGCTGTCACTCGTTTCCTCTTGAGACCCATCCGCCCGCCAGGTTCCTGGCACTGCCCAGGTGCCTGGTTGCAGTCGGGTGAATCCACTACATCATCCCCTGTGGACGGCGATCGACTCGAGCTTCTGATTCGTGGCTGAAAAGGCAACTAAACTGGAAGTACCTGCTACCCGCCGGCGATGATATGGTACTACAGGTACCTAGTACTACTACTATGCACTCAGTTCTACTTAGTACTACCTAGCTACTAGGTAGGTAGTACTCTGTAAGTACCAGTACCTATCCTATCATGTGGCTGAATGCTTCATTGCTGTCGATGACTGGTAAGAGCTACTGCACCACAGTTCAACAACCCAATCACCGCTCGACCAGTTACCCGAGGGCCTAGTCCATCCCGACCCCTGATTGTGGGTTTTTACACTTTTGCTGCGTGCTGTCACTCGTTTCCTTGTCGATCCACAATCATCCGTGACATCTTGAAAAGCCTTCGAAAGTGTGCTTGAACGCTTCATTGCTGTCGATAATTTGGGGAAAGGGCTCTGCACCCGCACCCCATTCGCCGCTCGACGCCGCGCCAATTACGGAACCTACCTAGTAGTCCACCCAAAACCCCTGAAAGGCATTCAGAGACCTTTCTTAGAAGACAGTGACAGTTGCCAACTCCAGATTGTCAGCTGACATCGGCAGCAAGCGGTAGAAGAATATCACGTGCTTTCCTGGGCATCCTGGACGGCCCATAAAAGAGCAGCGGGGATTTAACCTCGAATCTGACAAGTCGTCCTTGTTGATGGTGATGGTTTGGTCTACTGTGTATTCTGCTCTATGCTCGGCTGTAGTGACTTACTTCCCGTTAGAGCTTAGCTCTTACATGCATCACAAATTCATTGATCAAGCGTAAGAAAGATTAGTATATACTCTATCATAAACCTCATGCACAGATACACTCATCTGGAATGCAACACCAAACATAAGAAAGGTACGAGACGAAAGCCTCGCCAAAGATATCATACACAAAGAACGCCAAAGAGCAAAGCAATCAAGTCAAAATCTGACGACTATAAACAGGTATCATGAGCTCGTCAACAACAAAAGAAAAAAATAAACCCAAAGATCAGGTCTTCAGATGTAAAGTTAGGGTGACCTGATCCCCCTCCGACATGGCGGCACTAGTCTCCAAGATGGCCGCATCGCAGAGGTTGTGCATCAGCTTCTTGAGATTGGCCCGCGAACATCGCACCGAGTACTCGACCCCGTGGTTATCCAGGACCGTACTAGCCGGGGCTACTAACCCGGTGGTCAGATCCATCGGCTGCGGGGTGGACACTAAGCCCGGGGCCGCGTCGGGGGTAGATTTCCCCGACTCGCTGCCGCTGCTGGTTGTACTTCGGGAGGAGGAGTTGGTGGTGGTTGTGGTGATGGTCGTCTCGCCGGACCCCGGGTCGATCAAGCTCTGCCAGACCTCCCATTCTAGCTGGTTGGCGTCCGACGAGTGGTGCGTACCGGTCGTCCCGTCCCCACCGCCGGGGACCAGCACGGTGGTGCTGGGCGGCGTGGTGAAGAGGTCATGAGTCTGATACTGCACGTCGTCACCGAAGGCGGTGCCGGTCATCGTGCCGAAGATGTTGGTCAGGTCCATGTAGGAATTGGAGCGGCTGCTGGGACGCGTCGTCGGCTTGCTGCCCTCGGAGATGGAGCTGTGGTGCGAGCTCGCGTACGAGGTGCTGCCGCTGCTGCCACTGCTTTCCTCGGTTGGGGTGGGGAGCATCCCCGTCGCGCGGGGATCCATGCCTAGATCGAAGTATGGCGTGAAGGGTGTCTGCTGCTTGTTGACGCTGTCTGTAGCGGTTGCGGCAGTGGTCATGGTGGTAGCGGAGGATGACAGCGGTCGGGGTTGCTTGGAGATTGAGCCCCGACGCTTCAACCGTCGCATCAGCAATGAGTAGCGGTTTTTGAGGGCTTGTGGGGCACGAGATCCCAGGAAGCTGTTGGCCATGAACTTCCAGTTGCGGCCGTAGATGTCGACCAGCTGCAGGAGAAGTTGATCCTGTGGGAGTGATAATTAGCCGGAGTACTTATGGAGGATGATTGTTGTGCTTCGGCTTCTTGCAGTACTGCGTTCCTCACGTACATACCTCCTGTGGAGTCCATGGACTGTGGTCGAGATCGGGGTTCAGATTCTCGTTCCACCGCTTAGCGCACTGATCACCATTGCGGGTCGCCACGGCCGCGGCGACCACCACCCAGCGGGTGCCATACTGCGCAACGGCTTCTCGAAGTCTCTCGTCCTCATCCGGGGACCAGGTACCGGTGTTGAGGCTGGCCGGGGTAAATGAGTCCCTGCAGAGGGGCATGGTGCATCTGCATATCAGTGGGGTAATGGTTTCCAAGAAAAACAGGAACGTGGCTGAACGCTCACACTAGCGAAGAAGGTTGAAGTCTAAAGCTGAGAAGCAGGAAAGAGGAGAAAACCGTGCAGAAGCAGCTGGGATTCATGATGCTTTTGTTCTTTTCTTCGATAGCGCCAAGCTGGAAGTTGATTCCTGTCTCAAAGAATGGTAAACTCCGTAACGACGAGAATGGTGAGATCCTTCAGGCGGACTGTATTTGAATCCCTGTCATGGGGTAAGATACGACAAAAATACCAAGGAAAACCAATCAAGCCCAGCAAAAGCAGGTGAATCCCGGCGGAGGGTAAACCCGTGTCATGACGAGGGAGCAAGTCGAAGATCAAGTCGGAGGATGAAAAGGGCTCGGCAACGGGACGTCGGGGCTTATTTTGGCTATTTTGGCGGTTTTGGGGGCTTTTGGGTGGCTTATCGAGAGCCGCACAGGACAGGCAAATGCCCGAGTTCATCCTTCGGAGGGGCGGGAGAGCCCGGCAACAACGCCACCTTATTTACTCCCTGCCAATTTCACCGTGAAGGATCTGGACTCTTCCCCTCGTGGTTTGGCTCTCTCCACGTGTGGTCGCTCTCTCCTAGTCTACCACGATCCTGGTGACTCTGCAGGCCTCATCCTATGCAGTAATCTTCACGATCTGCAGACCCAGTTTCGGCAGACTGAAACATTCACGAGTTGCAGCATTGATCTAGCCTGCAGCATCGCCCACCTAGCAAATCGACCTGGGGGGCTCGACTAATCCTATCCATTCAACCCCGTCCTCGAAAATAATTCAATGGCTAACTAGCCAGAGAAAGAATTGCCTGTATCTTCATTGCCAACAAGGCTCTCTAGCAAACATGCAATGATTTACCAAGTTTATCAATCTCGAAGGCAAGAATCTACCGGACCCTGCAGATGCCAACCCGCCATGCTTTCCAGAAGGCTTTACACTGTTCTTCCATCGTCAGATCTACCCGCGCGCTTCCGCGATGTACGCCAATGGAACTCCAAAAGGCCATTGCAGAGACCCTGTAGACCGGATTAACCAGAGTCAAGTGTATAGATAACCATCGGGGCAAACAGCCAAAGTATGCACGCTATGCAGCTTATTGCCCGTACGAAAGATTCGACTCATCGCTCACTTCCTCACTGATTGCAATGCGATGGTCGGGAAAATAGAAGAAAGTGCCCTTCTTCGTCGGCTACCGGTACGCAGCGCAGCGGCATAGCAGTAGGTAGTACTGTAGACTCAAACCTGACTCGAGATGGTGGCGTTTGGCCACCATTCTTATTTCTGCCGATGGAAAACTTTCGGAGCTGGTGCGACTGTGATGCTGTCACTGCTTTTAGCTAGATCAGTATTCAGGCCCGTGTGCTAGTCGTGCAGATTGTAGCTGTCGTTGCTGGAGCGCCGCTCATCAAAGTCATTAAGAAAAAAAAAGGAAAGAAAGAGCAATAGCGACGCCACTATGCTATAGGACGTCGAAGAGATCCAACTTTAGATGTTGCACTGAACCCCACAACCAGAGATTAAGATGGTTTCATCTCAGTCTGTCCACAAGCGCCACCCAGCCGGTACCGCGTCAGCAATTGCGCAGCATCCGTGTTCTTTTTCGTAAAGTCGTAGAGCTTAGAAGCGCCAATGTTGAGAAACTTCCCATCAAAATCGGCTTCCAGGACGCGAGCATGGCGGGGACCCATGAGAGACACCACCAGGATCTGGGACACACGTAAGGTGAGCAAGGGTGTATAGCAACCCCACTAGAGAGAGAAGATTCCTTACTGGAGCAACAATATGCGGGCGCAGCGACTTGGTCCTCAGCCTCGCAGCCATGATATCGGTGATGGTCATGATCTCCCCGCGAAGCAGCTTGCTCTCGTCTCCGATGGCGTCACTTTCCAGCATGACTTTGAAGTATGGACGATTGCCCGCCCAATAGTCGGTGACTGATGCGGCATACCAGTTAAACCCTGTAGCCTCCAGCAATTGGCCGAACTTGTAATCCCCAATCCTGCATGCCAAAATAGTCAGGAGGATGGCCCCATAAAAGGCTAAGATAGCTGTGGAGGCATGACATACTCTCGATATCCACCAGAAGGCGGAAGGCTATGGGGGTACTTTAGCGCTGCATATCTCCCGCGCTTGTAAAAGTGCTTGGTGAGGAAGAGCTCCATATCTCGAGTCTCCCACATGATGCGTTCCAGATCGGGCTCGAATTCCAGCATCTTCTCCTCGCTCTCCGGGAGAGGCAGTTCCTCTTGGAATGGTTGGAAGAAGCGCGGGCGATTTTGAGGATTTTTCCCGTCTGCAAGGTCTAAGGGCAAGTGACGGATGCCGGCCGCCTTCAGATCAGAGGATTCAACATGCATGTTGGGGGTCTCCTTGATCAGGTTCTCAATTCTAGCCAACGCGTGGCGACGATCAGCCCGCTCGCGTACAAGAGCGTCATTCATCTTTAGTTTGACCAATATTCAATCAGAATGTTATACTACTTAGTCTCAGAGAAAAGAAGAGAAGGGTAAGAGAGATGGTGAGGTCTATAGAATTGATAGATAGCTAGATGGAAGATGGATGATGAGCCTGTTTTCTTCCGATTGTCTTGTTGAAGGCGGCAAGGGCGGGAGGCCCGGCCTTGTGGCCTGAGGCACAGAGAGGCAGTTGTTCGGCAACGTCAGGCAATCGCATGTCGGCACTACTCCAGGTTCTCTGGACCGGTAGGGAGTTTCAAGATCTCAGCCTAAGCAAATTCGAACTGGAGACATGGAAAAGGGAAGCGGACAAGCTGCTGGCCACTTTCCAATCCTGGGCCAACTACCGCCAAAGCTTCCTCAACGGCCCGATCCGTGAAGGTACATTTGCCCTGGCTAAAAAGTATCAGTTGCAGGCTGCAGCATCGAAAGATGAGAACTTTCAACCGAGCGTGGCCTTCTCCCCCATCGCTAATCGTACACGCGCCAAGGTGGGAAATTTAGCGCAGAAACTGTCCACAGGTAGAGCGTCAACCTCATCAGAGGTACCCGGTACGCCAGAGGTTGAGGATTCACCCTTCCAGACCCCAGGGCCCGAGAAGCTCACACCCCTGATGTATCCCCAAACCAAAAAAGAACAGATTGTTAATGCTGCCCTAGTGGACTACTTAAATATGCTGAGTATGCACTTCCCCCAAGCAAGCGATTAGACCTTACACCGCAAGTCCTTCAAGGCAGTGTTTGAGGACGCCGCCTTTAAAGCACGAACCAATGGCTACCTGGAGGACGGAGGCTCTTCGGAGAGGGTGCGGGCGCTGATTGAGGTGAAGCCCATGTTGCGGAGAAAAAAGCTGAATCCCATTCGGATGCAAGAGGCTGCGCAGATGGTGGCGTGGATAATGTCCGATCCTGATCCCACAGGCGCTTTGAATCTTCCAGGCCGGTAGGTTGCCTTCTTTTCTCTTCTACCTCGACTACCGCCTATGTTCCATTGCACGGCCAGGCGGTCCTTGTGCCTTATCCTTGTTTGGCCAAAGCCGACTACCTGGACATGTCCCTTACTCACAAAGTCCCAGCCGTCTTCACATATCGCGAGACCGTCATCAGATATTCATCACCTTCGCGGAGTATGACAGCAGCTACATCCAGTACCTTAACAATACGCTGCCCCCGAATGCGCCCCGTTCGTTCCTCACCATGCACGAATTTGGCCCTTGGAATACAAGCGTCAGAAGCGAGATGGAGAGCATTGGTGGCATCCTGCTGGCGATTGCCCTGCGCGCGTATGCGGATGCTGCCCAGCCAAGCAAATAGACTTCACCGGCGAGTTGAAGAGACGGCCGGGCGCAGCGGAGCGCATCCGGTGAGGGCATGGACGATATTTGTATAGCCGTTGAGAGACGCCTCCAGTGCTTATCTTCTGGCAAGAGTATTCTCCACTTATTGCGATCAGTCCCTGATGGGGACCGTCAAGTGAAATATGTCCGTAGTACGCGTGATGAATTATCAAATGACGCCTAACACAGGTACAGCCTCTCTTCAGAACCATCTGCTCTTATCAACCTTTGCCGATCTGTTACCAAGCATATTTCCTGGGCGCTTCTTCTGTAAGAGGAGCCCAGAGTGGTTGAATTACTGCTGGATCCGATCTCTCTTCATAAATGCCCCAATCCTCTGCGAAGGAGCGACGAGCTTCGAAGCTGCCTCGCTTTTTTGGTCTTTAGTGGAAGTGGTGCATGAATTTGGTTTAGGTCATATCTATCCATGATGATGCTGGGAGATGCCTGAAAACCATGCCTGAAATGTTGCCTGAAATGTTGCCTGAAATGTTGCTTGAAATGTTGCTTGAAACGTAACGATGGGTTGAATCGTCAGCTTGAACCACCCTTGAATGATCGTTGAATGATCGCTTGCCAGATTATTCTACTGACTCGCTTTTGATGGCCTAGACAAGATCCTTCGAGTATAAAATCAGATGCTATGCTGAAAGATCCAGCCTGAAATGTTGCTTGAAACAATCATTGAAATGTCATGTTGAAATGAAATGAAACGTCCCGTCCCGTCACAGTACTTGAACATGTCGGCCACAAACCACAAACCCTGCCCGGGTTGTTGCCTGAAATCTTGGGCCCTAACTCCCCAGCCTAGCCTAAACCCTACGAAGCCTCTACTCACGCCCTTCAAAATCAGCTGATTCCCTTAAAATGGTATGCTCATTCCTATCTAGAACACAACAATTCATACACAAAACATCAAAAACAGTCTAAGGTATATTTTGCAAATCAAAATCAATCCATCTCTTTCATTTCATTAAATAAAGCCCATTAGTGTCTCATCGCGCGTCATGTTTCATCAATAAAAAATAAATCAATCCACATCAAATTTCAATCACCTTGTAGAAAAAATTAGAATCCAACATTTTGCTCTTCGCACATGGATATATGCATGATAGAAGGGAATCAAAAACCAAACACAGTCAAAACACAGTCAAAACAAATAAGGGGGGTGTCTCAGAAGGGAAATTCGCCAATTATACGGTCGGGAGTTGGGGAACCCTAATCGCCGGTCGCCGGTCTATGTATGTCTCTCTACCAGGTAGTCAAGTCGAACTTGATAGGTCGGGTGTGGTTGCTGCGCTGGAGTAGGTGCGCTCGTTTGTCGGTGTGTTGTGCTGCTTTGTGTATTGCACTCTTGGTCTTGCGTTTGCGCTCATCGCTTAGGCCTTGTTCTGCACGTTCTTGGACATGGCGCGGATCTGGTGGCCGTACTTGTACAGCAGGAAGGGCATGGGCGCCATGATGGTGGCCAGGATGCCGACCAGCGTGAGCACCCAGTGGGGAGTCATGTGCTGGTACATGGGGATCGAGGCGGGCTGCAGGGCACCCGAGATGACATAACGGCTGAAGGTCATGAAGCCCAGCGCGGAACCGGCGTAGACGGTGTACACAAAGACAATGTACAGGTAGGTGGCCGTGAAGATGGTGACCAGGGAGTAGCCGAACACGAAGGTCGCGATGATGGGGGACCAGATGCTGATGTCGGACTGGGATGCGTTAGTCAGGTTATACGCTGCATCATCCGGATAAAGGGAAACTTACGTAACAGGTCCAGCCCATCCAGAACAAGGAGATCGGCATCAAGAAAGAGCCACCAACCATGGCCCAGTACAGAGACACCTCGGCCTGCAGAGCGGTACCGTTGGTCGCAGCCTTGACCGCCGCCTTCTTGGTCCAGCCGTAGATCAGCGGAATGAGCAAGATGGCGACAGCGTCACCCGCCAACATGGCCACCCAGATAATGAAGGTGAGCGAGTTGGAGATGCCGTAGGTCTGCGTGAAGATGAAGGGGAAGCCGTTCAGGAAGGTGAACAGGACAATGTACAGCAGGATCAGGTAGAAGGAGAAGAGCAGAACGATGGGCTCCGTGATGGTCATCTGGAAGGGGCGGTAGACGTTGACGAGGAGACGGCTGCCCAGCGAGCTGGTGGAGGCAGACTCATCGACCTGGTAGCGGGAGTCTCCGGTGGCAGCACGCAGGTGCTTGGCCCTCCATGACAACAAGGTGGGACCGTAGGTCTCAGGCTGGAACATAGCGACAAAGACAAGCACGGCACCGGCAATGATGAGAGAGATCCAGTCGGTCCAGTTCGACTTGTCAGCAGGGATGTAGGCACCGATGATCGGACCGAGGATGGGACCCGAGTACGAGGCCATAGTGACAAATGGCAGACTGAAAGTGACATCGAGAGGACCCCAGATATCACCCACGGTACCACCTCCGACCGTCAAGGGGGCAGCACCAAAGAAGCCCTGGATGAAGCGGAAGACAATGGCGGCACCATAGTTGGGCGCCAAGGCCTTCGCCAGGATGAACAGCATGAAGACAATCAGAGTGATGAAGTAGACCGCATTGCGGCCAAATGTCTCCGAGAAGGGTCCGGCGAAGAGAGAACCCACACCCACACCAATGAGGTACATTCCTGCAACGATTAGCCTCGACCCCTGCATTAGTGGAAAGGGGTCAACAACTCACCAGTGACCATGGTACCGGCGATTTCACCGACGTGGTACTTCTCGTTGAAAGCAGCCGAAATGGGAGCATCGATGGTACCGGGGATACTGACAGCCAAGGCAATCAGACAGACCGTGGCTGTACAGATCCATTTTCTGGCACGGGTCCAATTCTGAGGGTTGAGGGGATCGCCCTCCTTCCAGCCAACAACGTAGATGACGGAGCCATCGTTCTCAGAGGGGCGAGATAGCTCCACGCCAGGAATGAGGGCCCTCTCCTTCTCGTCCGGAGTAGAGGTGCCGGAGGATGAGCCACCGTCAGGTAAGGTGTGGGCTCTGGTCACATCCTCCCTGGCCGCATCTCGCAGGTTGATATACTGACGAAGGGTCGCCATAGTATAGGGTTAAGGCGCGCGGGCGGAGTAGGTTATCTGGGATATCAGATAATCAAAAGTAGATGATGATGATGATGATGATGAGAGTGGTATGATGGAAATGCTCTGGTCAGACATATTGAGGAGAGAAGCCGTCACTTTGGAGGAAATATATACAGACTGGAAGACCCCTGTGCTTGGTAACCTGGTGATGTGTAAAGTGTAAAGTGGCCGAGACGGATTGATAGAGTTGGGAATGGTTTGCAATGGGCTCTCAATTCGTGATGGGAAGATCGACCGGAACGGGATTGGAAAGGGTGAAAGCCGACCAGTGACAGCGGTGTGAAATGCCCGACTGCTGCACTGTCGGACTCTCCGTCGGACTCTCGGACACTTTTGGAGGGGCCATTCGAGCCATTGTGATTGGTAGAAATCACTGCATCAGCTCGACCTGAATCAGCTGGATGACTAACCCCCAAAGTGTTCATGGCTTTTCCTGTTCCGGCCAGCGACGGGCCAATTCGTGCCCGATTGTCGCCGCTTATCCCTACTTTATCTCGTGATGGTCGCCCTGTCGCGCGTGCGTGATCACTAGTCTGGATCTGACTCAATTCTAGTCCTGAGTATCCTGACTCTGGATCCAGACTGACTGCTGTCCCCGACATGGAGTTGACCTGAACTCGAGGTTCTACGACACTACCGGTGTCAGGGTAGTGCAATTCACGATGGACACACATCATCTATATAAGCCCTAATTCGATGGGAAGGAGATGCAACCATCAACATCAATCACAACCACCATCACAGCGAGAGGCAAATTGAGGCGGGTGACAAGCAACATCCCACGGACCAAGACACGTCGAACCACTTTTTTCTTAGCGACATCCCATCCCACCCCTCCACACCCAACCACATCCACCATCCACAGCTAATTACCCGAACGATGTCGTCCGAGACCGTCCACGTCCCGCTCAACGTGCTGGACCACCTCCACCGGCCCAACTACGTCAAGCTGTGCTACTACTTCTCCCTGCAACCCGGCACGACCCCGCTGGATGTCTTCGAGGACCTAGGCAAGGGTCTGCACCAGACCTTCGTGCAGGTGCCCTGGCTCGGGGGCAAAGTGTTCCGCCAGTCCCCCGACACGCCCGGGTACCGCCCGGGGCAGCGGGAACTGCGGTACAATCCCGCCACCGCCGCGCCGGTGGACGGGCCGCTGCCGCACCAGCTGCGCTTCAACGAGCTGGAATCGGACTACACGTTCGCCGAGCTGCGCGAGGAGGGGTTCCCCAGCGACGCCTACGACGACCAGGAGCTGCTGAACGTGCCCATCGAGGGCAACCTGGACACGGGGTGCGACGTCTTCGTGGCGCAGGCCAACTTCATCCCGGACGGCTGCGTGCTGTGCATGTCGACCTGCCACGCCGCCATCGACGGCACGGCCATGGTCACCGTGATGAAGCTGTGGGCCGACAACTGCCGCAGCGTGTTCGACCCCTCCGAAGTCCTCGAGCCCTTCCCCGCCGAGAGCTCCGACCGCACCCTGCTCGACAAGCTCTGGGTGCCGCCGAAATCCGGGGCCATTGCCCTGCAAGACGCCGACGCCTGGACGCGGGGCCTGGTCGGCCTGCGCCCCAGCGAGGGCTCGACGACCCCGATCGACTTCCAGAACTGGTTCGGCAACGAGCACCCCAAGCCGCCGCGGCAGATGAAGAACCGCACCTTCTACATGTCAGCGGCCAACATGACGGCCCTGCAGAAGGAATGCGAGGCCTCCACGGCCGACGAAAGCAGCACCACCGGCCCGCTGTCCGGCAACGACGTGGTCACCGCGCTGATGTGGCGCAGTCTGGTGCGGGCGCGCGCCGCGGCCGCCGACGACACGCTGGACGAGGAGTCGGTCCTGGAGTCGGCGATCGACGGACGCATGGAGTTCTCGCAGGCGGTGCCGCCCAGCTACCTGGGCAACATCACCTTCTACAACCAGTCCGCCATCCCCGTGGCGGAGCTGCTGGACCCGGCGGTGCCGCTGGGCCGCGTGGCGCGCGCCATCCGCACCGGCGCGGGCCGCGTCAACAGCGCCAGCCTGCACGAGGCCTACGCCCTCATCAAGGGGGTGAGCGACTTCGCCCAGCTCAAGCCCCGCTTCCGCCGCACCGCCGGCGCCGACATGTTGATCTCGAACTTGCTCCTCTTCCCGGTGGACTCGATCCAGTTCGGTACCCGCCGGTTCGGCAACGAGGGCAAGCCCGAGGCCGTGCGCTGCTTCAACGGGCCCCTCAACGACGTCGCGCGCATCTCGTTCATCCTGCCCCGCCGGAGCAAGGGCGGCATTGAGTTGGCGATGAACTTGTTCGAGGAGGAGATGGATTGCTTGTTGGAGGATGAGGAGTTTAACCGGTTCTGCTTGGAGCTGTAAATCTTTTTCCCTGGGAGAATGGGTGCGAGATTCTTGTAATTAGACTTTCTTCTTTTTTTTCTTTCTGCGTTATGGGTTTGTTCTTTGATGAAGCCTTTAGATTGCGAATCATGATCTAGCTTAATTTCCGAAATCTATTTCCCACACCAAGAACTGAATCGAATTTTCGTATCCCACGCTTTGCCGGAATTCGGATTTCCAGGGGAGATCCACTGATCAGACTTGGGTCCATCTACCCCAGTCACTGCAGGATAAGCGAGTCCCCTCTGTCCTAAGTCGTCTACCGCCGCAGCCGTTCCAGGTACGTACTCGCTAGGGGAGCCAACCTAACCTAAGTCAACGGAGGATAGCCCACTCCGCGCAAGACCTCCGCCGGCCCAATCTCCAACCAGCGCGATAGGATCTCCTCACGATCCAGCCACACCGACCCCACCATCCCCGCCCCGTTGACCGCGATATCCGGCCGGTGCCGATCCTTCGACCGGGGGATCACCATGATCCAATCCTCGACCAGAATCACATTATGCGGGATATTCCCCTCCCCATCGCCTTCGCCTCCATCGCCCAACGCGGATCGCATCTCCGCCAGAAGCCCGACGTATGCGTCCAACACACTCTCAGAGTATGCCCGGTCCTGAAAGCTGGAGGGGGACAACGGAACGCGGAAATGCGCAAAGGGGATGTCGCTGGATCTTGGGGCGGGATTATTCGGGAGGATGGTTGATCCCGGTGTCTTGTTGCCGCCATTTACACTCTTCCCTACGGTAGGCAGCTCGATGATTTGATTTATTTCTTCTTCGTCACCAGCACAAGGGATGATATGCATGTGCTTGTGCTGCCGACTGGCGCCCGCAGTGCGCCCGCAGTTGAACATGGCGAAGTAGCGCCTACCACCGTCTTGACCCAGCGCACAGAGGACGGCGCACGCGGCTTCGAGGTCCTCTCGATCCAATATCTCGTGCTGGCGCCGGTACGAGTCCTGGGTGAGGAGGAGGAACTGTGGCCGGAAGACGCTGTAGCCGTTCGGGACGAAGATGTGGGTCGTGTGGATGGTGGCGATAATGAGGTCAGGCGTGGGGCAGGCGAGGTCGCTGCCGGGGCCGAAGGTTGCTGGGCTGGACGTAGTATCGTTATTATCATTGTTGCTGCTGTCATTGTTGTTGTTGTTGCTGCTGCTGTTGCTGGTTTTGTTGCTGCTGTTGTTGTTTCTGCTTTCGTTGGGCGGTTTCAGTCCCTCGCCTGACTGGGGTTTGTTGGTGAGAGACTGGCTGATTCGGAATTCGAACTGGGTTTGGGATTAGATCTGTGAAGCTTGAGGAGAAGGAATGGTGGGTTGTGTACGTGAAAGTTGTCAACTTGGAGGCGCACGATCTTGGAGGGAGAGTAGACGACGAGGCCGCGGCGGACTAATGCATCGAACTCCGATAGGGCTGCCGCGTTGGTGAGGGATGAGAGGGTATGTTTAGCGCTAAAGGATAGGGTAGAAACGGCCGCTTCATCATCGATAGCCATATTGGGGATAGACGTAGATGTGAAGAGCTTGAAAGCACGACCAGGATGTGTGGAGAGTGGAAAGACTCCGTAGGTCGATTAACAATGCTATGCTAGCAAGGGGGCTGGGATCCGAATAAGGCTGGAAAGGCCCATAATGCAGGAGTGGGCGCCATGCGGGCTGTGGCGCCCGTCTCGGGTCCCGACCTCGGTCCTTAGCCGGGTGTTGCGTCGGGGCGCTTGGACGCTTGCATCAAGCCGTTGCCTCTATTTGAGCTTCCACTTCCCTCGATGCATCAGCCTGTTGCATGCTGTTGACTCTTGTAGTAAACAGTCGCAGTGATGCAAGAGCCACTTTTGAAAATTGGGATGCAACTCAATTGAGGTAAGTTTTAGGATTGCAGGTATGCATGCAAACTAAAGATGTGATTGAAGCCCGGAGCAAGAAAACAGATACGTCGGAAGATTATGTGAATTAGAGCAGAGATCTGATGAGTGTCTGTATATTGCAGTGAGATGGTCTCAAAGACTTTCGAATTGTTATCAGTTCCAACTGGGGGAGACTCGTCTGATATGAGGGTCAAGAGCAACTGCCGAAAGGGCCCGCAGCAAGCTTATTTCCAGGGATAGATGGGATGCGCGGCAGAATGCAGCTGGAAGCGGTCAGGAGAGTCGACGGGGGCTCACCGCCGGGGTTGGAACGGGATTCAGAGGGCAGATCGCCCAGTCTTGGCGACTCGGATTTGGAGCTGCGCTCATTGTGTGAACACCGGTGTTTCCACATCTCAACAGGAATTTGCTTCGGATTTCTACCAGACAGACTCGACAACATGCGATCGGATTCTTTCTTCTGTAACACCTCGAGCCTCGTCCCTGCAACGTGCTCGGACGGGATTAGCAGGAAACACGACCCCATCCTCGATCAGCGATGAGCCATACTTAAGTACTCCTACCTGTATAGTTCGTTCATGAAAAAAAATGCCGAAGATTCAAACACAGACCGGATGCAATATGATACGGTCACCTACAATCGACCATGCATCCCCCTACACCTCCACCATGAGTGTCATGGAGGAGGGGGAGAGCACCAACAGTGACCTGCCTCCGAGTCGCAAGACCCGCGACAGCTGCGACGCCTGCGCCAAATCCAAAGTGCGCTGTGGCAAGCAGCATCCACGATGTGATCGATGTGTGGCGCGCAACAAGCCATGCAACTACGGCTTCATCCGACCACGAGGGCGGCGACGTCTGTCGCAGATCCCCCCAGGGGGCAATCTCACCCCGGTTACGGACACCCAAAATAGTTCGCCCGACCGGGCGGACCCCAACAACCACAACAATTTTCAGCACATCGACCTCTTCAACACACTGGGCTATCAGGACCTCGAGGCCATCGCAGAGAAGCTCAACGACTACTCTGCAACTGACCGTCTCCTCGTCAACCCGCCCACCAGCGTGGGACACAATGACTTCCAGCTCATCGACGACTGGCAGACGATGGACCAGGAGCTGCAGCGGCTGCTAGACATCACCACCCCGCAGCCCACCCCGGTCCTCGAAGTCACCCCCCACCAATCCAGCTCGCAATCCAGCATCCAAACCGGCCTGTCCTCCCTCTCCACGAGCTCCCCATCCTCCACCTCGTCCCCTTCTCCCAGCATCTCCTCCCTCCATGGTCAATCCTGCATCACCCTGACCTTCAACACACTGCAAGCCCTCCATCCGCCATCGGACAAATGCGTCCTCAACTCCAACGCACCGCCGCCCCGCAGCCTCGACGCCGTCCTGCACCTCAACCAAAAAGCCATGAGCAATCTCTCGCTTGTCATCGGCTGCCCCTGCTCTCTGGACTTCAGCTTCGCGCCCCTCATTGCGCAAGCCATCTCCAAGGTTCTGATTTGGTACCAAGCCATCCTGGACGGCTGCGAAGCGATCCCTGAAATGGCATTCATGCAGCCGACCACGGCGCCGACGCGCGTGCGCGTCCTGCCCATCAAGATCGGGCAGTTCGAGCTCAGCGAGGGCGACCACCGCCGCATCGTCGCGCAGATGGTCATGAACGACCTGGAGAAGGTGCGCGGGCTGGTGGAGAGCTTCACGCAGTCGTACTGTCGGCGCGAGGCCTCGCCCACGGATGCGGACCAGTCCATGTGCTTTATATTGGAGTCGGCGCTGCGACACAAGTTGAATGATACCCTTGGTTCTGCGGTTTTGAAAATGACGGATTGAGCTTTTTGGCTGTGGGTCGGGTGTTCGTTATGAGGTTTGGGGTTCTTTCGGGTTACGTGTATATGGAGTTGGAGTTGGGGTGTTTTCCAGGGAGGGCTGTCTGTTGTATTATTCCCAATGATGATGATTTTTGATGAGCAATGGATCTCTTAATTCTTTTGTTGGCTTCTTTTTTCTTTTTGTTTTTCTTCCGACTGACGACTCGGAATGTTGGCGACTGGGAAGGGTGGCGCGGTTTCCTATATGCCTTAACGCTGTATAGACCAAGACTAGAGAAGCGGACTGTGGAGTTTTACTACGGGAGCAACAGTGCGTTGATCTATCTGTACCAATCCAATGAGAGTGTGGCTGTCTACTTGATCTAGTATCTAGGTTTATTTCCTCTGGCTTGAGAATGTAGAACCCTTGAAACATGTAGGACCCCTGAACTATGAATAATGGAAAATGAAGGACCTTATCTTACAAGACCCACGCTCTCTGTTGTCACTACGAGGCTCCGAAACCTGTGACCATGCACAAGTAAATTTCCAGTTACATATATATACACACACAATTAAATAGAAATGAGGTCTCAAGCACTACAGCAAGAGCCCTAAGCAATGAACTTACTTAATCGTCATATCTTAGTTAACCCTGGAGGTATGGCTGAAGGTCTATGTTAATCCACGCAGAAATCTTCCCTTTGTATATTTTAGTGATAAGCTCGTGCTTTCGATTCAAGGAAGATAGCTTCAATCTTTGAAATAAAAAAAATGCAAAAGTTAGTTCAAGTCAAGTCATCCAGGCTCGAATGCACACATGTTCGGCGCACCTATAGTTCTTATCAATTAGTGAAGGGCTGTAGGTATAGTTGGTTGGCAATGAAGTGTTCATGTAGGTAACTAGCTAGCAGACTCCGAGTGAAGTCCGACCCGGATCTGCCCGGATTGCCCTCGTTTGTTGACTGATTGAGTCTAGGGACTGAGGTAGTTCTGTCAGGTGAGGTGAGCCGCCGCGGGCACACTGTTGCTATACTACCAGACTCCTCCAGGCCGGGACCGCGTCATCACGGGTCTGGCTCTCTTATCTTTAATCCAATTCCGCAATCCTCAATTCCTCAAGCTGACATAAGAGCCTGACAATCCTTAACTCCGGGAATCGGGTTTGGTCGGAAATTTTTCAGACCCAGAATCTGGTAGGTGTCTTCAGCACAACAGCTTACTTGCATTAGCGTGGCACTATTCCTCCCTCAGGATCCACTAGTCTACTTGTCCGCTGTCAGTTGTCGTCACTACTGCTCTACCAAGCCCAACAAAAACAAGGAAGATGGAGCAATGCTTTTATCTCAGATGGGTAACCGTGGTATTATCATTACTAACAGAAGCCAGAAGAAATCTATCGACAAAGAACAGGAGCAAGAACGCCGCGCCCAGTCATAAAAACAATGAAACAACACGTGGAGTCACACCGTCAAGGTGGTACACAGCATGCGGTCGACCACGGGGGTCTGCTGCAGGAAGCCCGTCTGGAACTTGATGTGGGCGTTGTCGGAGACGGGGGCGTGCAGGGCCCAGAGGCGGCGCGTGAAGTCCTGGCGGGTCTGGCGGATCATCTCGTCGATGTTGTAGCTCCAGATCTGGCGGGAGCGCGAGTCGATCTCGTGGCAGATCTGGGCGGGATCGCGCGAGTGCTGCCACTCGTACATCTCGCCGACGAAGCGCGAGGTCTGCATGAGCCACTGCGTGCGCTCGAGGCGGATGTGGTCGTAGGTCGCCAGCGCCGCCGAGAGCAGCTCCGGCAGGCGGTGCGGGCAGGCCGCGCGGGCCGCCTGTGAGTGCACCGCCTGCAGCAGTTCCACCAGGGCGGCCGCGTCCTCGATGCCCATGCCCGCCCCGGCCCCGTGGTGCGGCGCCGAGGCGTGGGCGGCGTCGCCCGCCAGGCACACCCGCCCGTTGACATAAGTCGGCGCCGGGTTGGCCGCCATGTCGAAGATGGCCCAGCGGTGCAGCGTCTCCGGCAGCAGGTCGATGATCCCCCGCGTGAACGGGGTGAAGTTCTCGAACGCCTTCACCGCCTCCTGCTTCGTCGCCATCGCCGTCAGCTTCTCCTCCGTCCACTCCGCCTCGTCGTGCACGAACGCCACCACGTTCAGCAGCAGCCCGCTGGCCACGGGGAAGGTCAACATGTGCGCCCCGGGCCCCATGTACATGTGGCGGTTGTAGGCGCGCTCGTGGCCCAGCAGCGGCAGCGCCTTCTCCATGGGCACCAGACCCCGGAAGGCGTACTTGTGGGTGTAGCCGGCGTGGGCGGCCGGGTGGTTGTCGCCCAGCACGAGGCGGCGGACCTTGGAGTGGATTCCATCGCAACCGACGACTGCATGATAATATTAGCCATTGCTTCTTAAAAGCTTTGAGGAGGGGGGTAAGACTCACCAAGATCCGCCTGTGCAGTAGTTCCATCCTGGAAGCGCATCAGCAGCTTTTTGTCGTCGCCGCGGTCCTCCACCGCAACCAAGCTCTTACGGAACTTGACCCGGTTCTCGGGGATGAGGTTGAGCATCTCGTTGAGGAACTCGGCGCGGTGGCACCCCTCAAACCCGCGCTCGCCCACGTACATCTTGTAGATGGGCTCGTCCAGGTCGCCCTCCTCGCGGTTGCCCGAGTTGGACCAGGTGAACCAGTCGGTGGTGTTCTGGACGGCGACCTTCTTGAAGGCGGCGTGGATGGCCGGGTCGAGCACCTTCATGGCCGACTCAGCGTTGGGGGTGAAGCCAATGCCCGCACCCACCTCGCTGAAGGCGTTGCTGCGCTCGTAGATGGTGACGTTGATGTCGCGGGCCAGGAGGCCGATGGCCATAGCAGCGCCGACGATCCCGCCGCCAACGATGGCGACGTCGAGGACTTCGTTCTGGGTGGAGTGAGACATTGTTGTTTAGGAAGTGAAAAGTGTGAGTGGTTGTGGAGATAGAGTGTGTATGTGTTGATTGATTGATAATCAAGAAGCTTGGAGGAGGCTTTGGTTGTTGTTGTTGTTGTTGTTGTGGAGTGTTCTGATGATGATGAAGCTGTTGGAATTGCTGTTCTGGGACATGCTGAAGATCTGGATCGTCAAAACCATTATATACATAATCACACTTGAGGCCAACGGGATGTTGAGCCCCCGATCTGAGTGAGACGTGAAGCCCGAAATGCCTGTTCACGAATTACGAATTCCCAGATTCCGGTTCAGCAGTCATGGGCTGTGGGCGACGGAATCTCATGGAGAACCCGATACATGGTCCAAATCCGGGGTGCTCGGGCCCCATCGCTCATACCATGGGGGCCTCTAGCCTAGCGGTGTTACTTCTCTGCAGAATAACCCTGCTTACCATGGTGGAAAGAGGCTTGGCTCTTGGTGTCTGTGTCCAGAAGCTAGGGTCAGCTAGCTGAGGGGTGAAGAAGTTCTAGGTAGGGCTCCCCCCAAACACGAGGGAAAGTCCCGCCGCGGGTTTGGGGCCTTGCCTCCTCAATCCCGTTACCCAATGAGCTGGCCCGGAAACCACCGCGGGTTTCGCGCCGTTTCTTCCCTCGTGGTCTCATCGCGGCTACTACAATCTTAGGGAGCGTACGCTACGGCACCAGCGGGGTTGACTCTGACTCTGGAGTTATCCTTTAATTCCGTTGCTGGGTGCGTGCGTGCGTGGGTAGGAATTCCAGTCCGCGATGAATTCCACAGTGAATCCCGCCTTTCTTGCTGGCTCCCCTTACCCCGCTGTCCACGCTTGGTCTCCGTTCTCTAATTCTAAGTTATCGGTCGGAATGCCGGTGTTGATTCTGTGCTAAATGCCTGCTGACTACTAGTACTAACACTACAGCTAAAGTTTTGGCTGCCATTTGTGAGACCTCCAGTAAATCTAGCTGTGATAGAGCACCCTGAGAGATTCGAACGGGTCCCCTGGTTAGTAGTCAAAAGAAGTATACCAGGATTTAGTCGAATCACAGCACTTTCACCCGTGATCATCGCATGTCGATCGATCTGAGTGATCTTGACGTTCATGTTTTCTTTGGGATAGGGAGCCTGACGATCGCGGGTTTGGCAGGTGTCTACGAATCCCTGGCTGTCAGCATCAGCGCTCAGCCTAGACCTAGCCACGTGGCGGTCACCTGATCATATGTGGTAATATACTCTTAGTTTGTCCTCCGTAGTGGGGTCTGTACTAGGTGCCTCATCGTCGACGATACTTGGGACTATATGCTTATGATGGGCAAGGTCGTCGAGGGACTATTTTGATTTGTACTTTTACTTTTCTAGGACTATCTGAACAGTAATTTACGTCTATGGTAGCGCTTAATCTATAATCTATATTTCATATGCTGTCGTCGTGAGTTTTGTGTAGATACATATATATATATATATGAGTTGTGTATGTATACATACCATGCCATAATGCAATCATAACTAAACGAAAAGCTTAGCACTAATTCTCAGAGAATAGCCCCGCACAACTAGAAAATAAGATCATACTCATGATCTCAAAACTACACTCCCTAAAGTCTCTAGCGTAACTCAGTCCCTAACCCTACCATCAGGGACTCAAAGCTTAGCCGAGCAAGACACGACGGAGCCACTTCTACTCTGGCCACAGCACCCACTCCCCCCACCTTAGCCCCGAGATAAGCCCCAAGGGCCGTGCCTGATGCCTTACGGTCCGAACTTGACCCCGCGAGACACCGGCTGATCGATGTCGGTCCGTAGAATTCGACGCTACGAACTATGGACCTCAGATCGAGGGGACAGGCTACTGCGCGCCGTTCCTGCAGGGCAGGCTAGTCTGCAGGCTAACACTTAGGTCATAGTACGGGGTACTCAGGGTAGGGGTCTTGATCTACGGGGCCCTACTCTTTACGCCATCTTTGCAAAGTTAGTGTGTATCAAGTTATGTCATGTAGCCGAACCATTCATGCACCCTAACCACCGGTGCCAATACCGGTCAGTAGCCTCATCCTCAGGTCCGCGACTCCTAACACCCGGAACGACCTGGTCAACGACCTGGAGAGTAACCAAAGCCACAAAGTAGGTAGCCACTCAGTTCGCTCACGATGTACAAACCGGCATCAGCTCCAGAAGATACCCAACCCCGCAAGAAACGAACTACTGACGACTCGCGAGCACCAGCACTCGTGAACCTCACCCGAACGGAAAGCCTAAGACCGAACCCAGCTAAGACATCCACACACCCAGTAAAGCCACAAGGGCAAGGCAGGCTCATTCCTCTTTTCTACGTCCTCTGACCGGGGTTCAGTCCAAATTCCAGACTACAGTCCATGTACGCACGCCTAGCCCAAGAGTCCCAGTGCACTACACGGCTCTCCACACGCATTCCCCTCATC